ATCAATTCTTCGAATATCAGGCACAAAAATCAGATTAAAATTGTTAGAAAAAGAGAGAAAACAACTCGCGAACGAAATATGGTCAAACACGAAAACAATAAAAGATGCTATTGATCAAATTGTTGCAAGAACAAACTGAATAGATATAGTCCGTACTTGTGGAGGGTACTCGCTCTCGATATGCCATCGGCTGTAAGATGAATTGACTAAGGACGGATATAATGTATGGATCGATGAAGATAAAATAACTGGCTCGATTCCAGTTGCCATAGCAAATTGTATTGAAAGTTGTGAGATAATTATCATGGGTTTGTCATACAGTTACAAAACGAGTGCTTATTGTCAAAGTGAAGCAACATATGCTTATGAGCGTCGTTCTAAAAGGATTCTATTAAAACTGCATCCCCAATATAAACCAGACGGATGGTTGTCATTTGTCATTGCAGATCTCAACTATATTGATTTTTCAAAATATGAATTTGATGTGGTATATCAACAACTGAAAGTGGAAATTACTAATCAAATCGATCATAAGGAAAAGTCACCAGTCATCTTACCGACTAATACATCACAGAAGACAGCAGCTGAATATTGTTAAAATCTAATGGAACATATGTTCTAATTCCAATTGATAGCTAGTCTCAACAAAATGTTCTCGATTTCTTGAATGACAAAGAACTTCATCCCATGAATCTTCTGTGCAATAAAATGGACGGACAAGCACTGCATGTACTGTATGGTTATTGTCAATCAGACTACAATAAAGCTTACAAGTCATTACAAAGACTTGAATAGAATAACACGTGGTAAAAATGATGAATTATCACTCATCGTTTATGCTCGTTCCTAAGTGAAATAAAAAAATTTGTATCAGTTGATGTTGTTTCATCTGCTATTTGTAGTGTTTCCTAAAACGTTTTTCATTTATTTCATCTAAATCTTATCAATCCAACTGATTATCACAAAACTTTACTTCTGAAATTTTTACTGACTTTTAAATAAATTTTCATTAACCTTTTTTCTTTCTACGACGCGCAAGTACGAAGGACATAACATTATCGCATAACGTTATCGCACAAAGTATGAAAAACCCGTGCGCACTACCAAAAAGTACATTGCACTCAATCATTATACGCTAATAGAGAGACCTCACAAGACTCATCATGTGTAACCATAAAGGGTCATCAAATGTGTAGCCATAGTCGAGAGTAGAGATGGGCATCGGGACCAAAAATATTTTCTGGTCCCGGAAAAACGGTTTTGTGCTGCCCCATTGGCTTCAATGTTAAATCATTATTTGACCACACATTTTGTAGAGAAATCTTTACTCTTTCAGCCTATATACTTCCAAATATACTACAAGTCCTCACTGCTAAGTGATTTAGCAAATATGCCGACTGGGACTAGATTGGCTGCGATCCGTATGCGTGCTAACTCACTTGATAACCAAGACCTGTAGTATATAAGGAAGTATATAGGCTGAAAGAGTAAACATTTCTCTACAAAATGTGCGGTGAAATAATGATTTAAAATTAATCAAATACATAATTGCTACCAAACGATTTAAATTTTAAATATTAAGGCCGGCGTCCCCTCCAAATCGATTTTCGATATAGTGCATGGGATTTCCATAAAATTTTCCACGAATGTTGGGCACATAAAAGCAAAGTTACAAAATCGTTTTTACGTCTCCAAACCTCAGCGTTCAAGAGTTTTCTAAAGAACAAGGCCCAAAATGTACAAATTCTTTTTCACTATACTTCAAGGTACAGAACTGAGGATTGTTTTATTTGAAGGAGAACTCTTTACGTCTTCGGATGAGGGGAAAGGATCTTTCTATTGTTGGTTTCTTTAATTTTGGAGAGCGTCAGCACCTCTAAAATTTGAAATAACATTAGAGGTTTTCCAGATAGACGAGATTTTCTGCAGAACTAGGTCTTAATTAAAAAACTCCATCCCCTCATTCGAAGGAGTATCGAGTGCCCCAAAATAAAAGAAATCGCAGCTCTTAATAATAAACTATATTTTAAAAAAGTTTTTACGGATTTTGGTCATTAGCACAAAAATCAGTTTTGAGAGAAAATGCTGTGTATTGTTGATCCATTTTAGGGCTTGTAGGAAAATGCTTGTAATTTTTGAACGCAAGCTTACACAAAGTTGTGCAGCATCTAATTTTAATCAGAAAAGTCTGTTCTACAAATCTACATTTTCAGAAAAAATTTACTTGCATAAGTATCTAGGAAAAAATTATTATTTGAAGACCGTGGTTTTCTAGGCTCCTAGAAAACTTTTTCAAATAACACTAAAAACCAGTTCTAGGCCTGAAAGCGATACAAATTCTGAAAGTAGACACTCCAGGCTATCTTTCCATGTGCTTATCTTAAAATCGACTTTTGTACCCAAAATCGTAATTTCCGAGGGGGGCTGGGCAGCCTTAAACCCATCTCTATTAGTTATGCTCACTACACTGTTTTTACGCTTTGTCTTAACGTGTTTAACGTCTTTCTGTAAGTTTTCACGCGAATCATTTTCATTCTTCTTGTGTTCTTTCTTTCATAGACTACTTTTTCCTTTCTTGTCTCTTTCTTTTTTATTATCGTGTTTGTACCTGTAATAGCTTATATCATTTACCATGTCGTTCTCCTCTGATATAATGGCCTAGGCTGCATTTGTGTAGAAGGACTATTCTTATGTCTCTTCTTTTTTGAATGAATAAAGTTTAAACTAACTAACCTTGACTATGATCTTCTCTCTTATGACACGAGTCTAATGCGTGCAGGGATTCCGATTGTTTTGGGGTTGGGTGGGGGGGGGGGCATAGGTGTAACAGAAGGCTTATAAAAGTATCACGCGGAAAATAATGGAGCAAAAGTCGTATGATTTTATGTGCGTGGCATAACAGTCACTACGAGAATATTAAATTTTGTAGGCACAAGCTAAAGAAAAACGAGAAAAACCTAAAAAACCTGGAGCGATGACATTCTCTCTTTTATTCAAAACGAGGAGAAAATGCTCTTTTCCTCCCAACAAGGAAGTGACGGAACTCTGTAGAATTCACACTCTCTTCAATCATTTTTATTCTCCTACGGTAACATAAATTGATAGAAAATTTAGTTTCACTTATTCCCAATAATTGTTGCATCTCATAACTCATTTTGTCCGGAAACGAATTTACTAACTTTTCTCACTCCTTAGTAACACTTGTAACACCTGTGTCAAATTAATATGTAAATCCTCACAGCAGACAGCGGCAAGATATCTCGGAAAACTCCGAAATTTTTTCATCCAGACTTACTTTAGTCGATACCTACGGACCGGAGAGCTATTCTTCACTATAACGGCCTGTATCTTTATGTTGCAGCACTTTGTGATTTTTGTCGTTCTAATGAATATTTTGACATGACTTAAATGCCTGTTATAGGCTTCTTTCGCGGTTTGCATTTGAAAAGTATATAACCTCCCTGCTACATATTCAGCGCTAATTTTTAACAAAAATTTTTTTAATTACCGCTACGAAATATGATGACTCTTGACTTTGGTCTTGAATTGGAAGAAACGCATGATAAAGGATTTTTAAGTTTGTTTGTCACAATATAAAGGAAATAGACTTCTGATACGGGAATTCTTTGAGAATTTTTAATAGGAGTTTTCAGACTGCGTTTAGAATTTTTGACTAATCTTAAGGGAATAATCTGCAATGTTGGCTACAAAGGAAAAAAATTGAGCTGGCATCAGTGATCACTTCCTTCAAAAGTTATGACACTTTTTGGCTTTAATGGTAACTGTTTAAACGTAAAAATTTCTGATGTTTATGTCCAGGAAGTCAATTAAGATTTCATATTTGTAGGATAAATATTCGAGGTCTGCCACGATCTATAACCAAAGCATGTGGAAAAATAAGTTTTGCACATGGGCAAACATATGCGCACAATATGGTGAAATTTTGTCAACACACAACGGACAGCATCGACTGGGAACTTAGAACACAACTAAAAGGCATTTGACCCAGATATAAAAACAAGCCGATAACACACATCAAAGTGCAATGTACATGTGTGTTTTCAAAATAAAGTAAAGAAAAAAATAGGTCATAAAAGCAGCAGAGAGAAATTGTGATTACACAACGAAATATCTTTTATCTTTCGTTCTCATATCAAGAAACGAAAAACAAAATTGACGGTTATACTTTTTCTTTCTTGATACAAAAACGAAATGTAAAAGATATTTTGTTCTGTAATCATAGTTTCTCTCTACTGCTTGTTTTATCCGTTTTCTTTCTTGTTGTTACAGCATACGTGCATTTTCAACACATGAAATTATGGTATTTTTTCTTATCATCTTCACTGTGTTAACACTCATTCTAATTTATTATTTATTTTTAAATACTTATTTCGACGATATACTTTATTCAGTTCCAAATGAACCGAAGTTTATTCGTAGTTATGGACCATTAGGAACTATTCGACTCCACAATAATCCACTAAATTTCATTCAATCACTCTACAATAAACATGGTAAATTATTTTCATTTTATCTCGCGTATAGACGATTTACAGTCATGTATGATGAACACACATTTCTTACTAAAATTGCACGTGATCCAAAATTTTCAATGGAGTTCTTGGATGATTTAAGTCTGGCTGGTGGTGTTAGTCGAGCGTGTATAAAAAATACTCGTGTCATGGATGAAATTATTAAACAATTTCACACTTATCTGTTTGGTGATGAATTAGAACAATTAAATAAATCAGTATATGATTGTTTAATTGATAAATTAAAGGTACGATCAACAACCACAAACATCGTTAATGTATTTGATTATTTTGGTGAGATGATGTTTTATGCAGCGGCAACAACACTTTTTGGTAAAACATTTGTTGAACAACAGCCAGGTTTATATCAATCATATTTAGAATTCAACCATGCATTGGGTATAATACTAATGAAAATACCAATGCAATCGTTTTTCTTATATCCAGTCATTAAGAAACGTAATGAATACATAAAGCGTTTTGAAAATTTGAAAATCAATGATGAACAATCAAAAATAGTTCAAGCTCGTATTGAATTTTTTGCAAGTGATGAAAATAAAGATGTTTTTTCGAAACAGGATACATCCGCATCGCACGGCCTTCTCCTGTGGGCAGCCGTGGTAAATACTGTAACAAATTCTATTTGGGCATTAGTTGATCTACTTATACATCCTGAAGCAATATCAGCTGTTAAACAAGAACTTAAAACAATTGATATAAATCAACTATATGAACGAGAAACATTGAATAAACTTCAAATATTAGATAGTTGTATTAATGAAACATTGAGACGAACAGTATTATCGATGTCAACAAGAGAAGCAACAGAAAATATAACAATTACAGATAGTGATGGAACATTAATTGGATTAAGAAAACATGATATTCTTGCATATCCATCATTAGTCAAACATTATGATTCTGATTTATTTCCTCAACCATATACATTTCAATATAATCGATTTGTTAAAGAACAACATCAACAAAATGGAAAAAAAATACCATCAACAATAGTATTTGGTTGTGGTAAGAGAATGTGTCCTGGACGATATTGGGCAGTGAATGAAATAAAAATGTTACTGGCACTTGTAATTACTAATATGAATATTGAATTATTAATGGATGAATCTTATCGAAAAAAATTATGTGAAAGATTAGAATATCAATACACTGGAGTACTATCCAACGGTGGTCCAATTAAACAACATCATGATCAATTTAAAATCAAATATTCTTGCAGAAATATCGATGTTAACTAATGAAATTTTTGACTATTTTATTTCTAGTGTTTGAAGATCGAGGTTATGCGTTGACATTAAAATTTTAATAAAAACATAACAAAAGTGCAACCTATTCTTAAATACCTTTGAATATGCAATATATGGTACCTCATTGACCATTATTGATTATACAACGCCAGAAACGCCTTGTACTATTATTATAAATGTGATATTTCTACTTGTTTTCTTTTCAGATTTTTCAGTTATACGAGTACACTACCCGTGCGCTCCGACGGCTAATTTGTTTAGTTAAATGTCAATAGTTAGGTTGTTTAATATAAGCAAATTATACATTACATTCAGTCAAAAATTGCTTTGTATACAATATTCCTTGTCTTATCACCATTAGGAGCTAAAATCTTAATACATAAAGGATTCTCAACTCTTGATAAAGCCACGTAAAGCTGTCCATGTGAGAAAACAGGTTTTGGAAGATAAATACCAATTCTCTTCATAGTTTGTCCTTGTGATTTATTAACGGTCGTTTCGAAAGCAGATCTAATGAGAAATTGCCTCCTTTTAAAGTCGAATGGCAAACCGACATCCGAAGGAATCAAAGAAATTCTTGGAATGAAAACTATATCACCTTCTCTTCTACCTGTTGCAATTGTGGCTTCAATCACATTTGTTTCCATGTTTCTTTTTAGAAAAACTCTCGCTTCTCTGTTATAGTAAATATTCTTTCTTGTCCTGTGCCTCCCCCTGTAACGGCCGCTTGCTGTTACATATTTTATTTTCTGTCGCTTGAAAAGTTTCAGAAACTTCTTTTATGCGCTCTTTATATAGAAAGAATGAAATCAGTTAATAATTGATTTTTATTATTATTTTGTTTCATAGTGACGCGAAATGTGGAGACACATTATCTTCGTGTCGAGATTTCATTAAAAATATCAGTTTTTCTTCTTCTTCAAAAATTCTAAACTTAAATTCTAAACTTCTTCTACTTCTTCTTCTCTCCCTTTAAGAGAAGAGGAATCATCATCATCAGTCGTCTTCTTCATTTATCATACAAAGGAAGAAGAAATTCTACAGCTATAATTTTATAACTAAATCTCACATTTAGTATATATTTAGTATTCTTTTAAAATTATAAAATATAATTTAGTGTTTTCATTTGCATTACTTTAATTTCGTTTTGCACTCCTTCTCCTCATCAAG